TGCAACTTCATCAGAGGCGCTCTGAGATTTTTCTTTTTAACTAAAAAGGCCCACCCAAAATGTTTCCCTAACTTGTTTTTTTCATTCACATCCTCTCTTCTCCACCACTGTCCCAAATCATTGTTTGTTTGTTTTATCCTAGTTTCTCAAACGTCTTGATGGGAAAGGATTCAAGGGCCCAAGGGGACTCCTCTCGAATCAGCCTCTTGACTATCGCAAGCAAGAGAAATTAAGCACTGACTGTATCCAAAGGCAGAATCTTTCCTATTTCTTTCTTGGTGTTATATTCCTGGTCTGAAATCCAGACCCCTGATTTTTTGAATTTTTTCCTACAGTGTCACTAGGGGGCAGCACCTGACTGCTGTGTCTGGACCAGTGTTGTCCAAACTTGGCCACTTTAAGATGAGTGGACTTCAACTCCCAGAATTCCCCAGCCAGCCAGCCTGGGAGTTGAAGTCCACCCATCTGAAAGTTACCAAGGTTGAGAAACACTAGTCTGGACGGAAAAGCTAAACAAGGTCAGAGCTGGTGTCACCAAGAGGCTGAGTTTGTTTAAGGCAGGGTTTCTCAACCTTGGCAACTTTAAGACGGGTGGACTTCAACTCCCAGAATTCCCCAGCCAGCCATGATTTTAACCTGCAGGAAGTGCCAGATGTTATCTTTGACCAGAGGGTGGCGTCCCCCAACCAAATGTTACCCCCACCTCGCCCTCCTTGTCATTCGGACAAAGGAATTTCTAGACAAATTTTAGAAGCTCTGTTGAGGATTGCTGGTTTAGCTATTTCGGTTGATTCGATTTTATTTGGGGAGAATCCCTTTCTAGGGGAGGGAGGGAGGCTGGTGACAATGGGCCGACTCCTCCCAGGGGCCCAAAGCAAACAAGCCACGATGTGGCAGACACTTAGCCTGGGTGCTGAATGAACCCATTTCCTGCATCGGCACCCTGCCTTGAAGTAAAATTCATGATTTTCTTGAGCTGGGCCATCAATCCATCAGTCTGCCCCTCTGATTTTAAGAATGACCTTTAATCGATAGAGCAAATAATGTTAGAAGTTTACAACTTCATAAAACAAATGCAGGTTTGTGGTTTAGTTCACTGGCAATAAACAATAAAACAAAAAATGGCTGTTCAATGAGCTTGCTTGATTTTCGCATCCTTCCTGAAGTCTGCTATTTTTTAGGGCAAAAACTACCCCTTCAGCCCCTGCAAAGATTACAGAACTCTTCCTGGGGGGCTTTTCAAGTACGAATGCACCTGTCACCACGAAGAAAAGGGTTCTGCCTCCCAAGAAGATGTTGGGGATTTTCCCCTTCTGCTGAAAAAACCATCCACAAATTGGATGGGGAACTGTGAAATTGCCGGGCGGTTGGGGCAAATGTCTATCGGCCGACGAGTCGCACGCTTTGGGCATCCAAAGGGGACCGTTCAGGCGAGATTGAAAAGCCCTAAAAATGCACGGTGGGTAAGGGGTGCAACAGAGGTATCTGCAGTGTGGGTGTGTACGTGTGTGTGTGTGTGTATGTGTGGATCAACAAAGTCAGAAGGGTAGTTGTGCGATGAAAACCCCACTCCTTTTTTATATTCATGGTGCAATCATGGGGTAGTAACCCTCATTGGCACCCTTTCCCAGGGACCCCCCCGGTGCAAACTGAATAGCTACCCATTCATCACTGAGTTTGTCCCACACGCCAATGGTAAGATTATGCACAATGCTCCCGGCTCGTGAGTTTTCCTCTTTTGCACAATGCGCCTGGCCTCTGGGCTCTCCTAAAGACGTCTGCGCTCCTTCCCGGTTCGGGGGACGCTTACCGTGATGGGGAAATAATCCTTCATGTATCGCCAGACGATGCTATTCCGGACGCAGCGGAATCTCCTCCCGCCTTTGTTTGGGGTGTCCCAGTCCAAGGCCCACCACACGGCGTAGACAGCGCTGATCAGCCAGAAGCGGGTGAAGAGGAGGAAGACGAAGATGGCGATGCAGCACTGAGCTGGGGACAGGAAAGGAAGGACGGTCAGGGGTCCCCCAAGCCAAATTCCTTTCTTAACCCATTTTGCACCCTAAGCAGGAGGCTAGGAGCAAGCAGGGAAAGGTGGCTCTCGGAGGCATTGGACAGTTTTGATGTCCTGTGTTGGCCTCTCCCAAGCCCGGTCCGTCTGCCGGCCCTTGGAGGTAGGCCAGGTCAGGAAACCGATACCACAAGAAATATCAGAATTCTACTTTATTGATCTAGGCCAGTGTTTCTCAACCTTGGCAAGTTTAAGATAGGCGGACTTCAACTCCCAGAATTCCCCAGCCAGCCTTGCCAAGGTTGAGAAACACTGGCCTAGATCAATAAAGTAGAATTCTGATATTTCTTGTGGTATCGGTTTCCTGACCT